CGACTGCTTGGTCTTCTGACCCTGCAGCACAGGCTTCTGCGGTTTAGCCCACAGCGCCACCACGTCTAAAGAAAGGAAAATCCCACAAGCCTGTGATCCAGCCCCACCTGGTAACAAACACTCTCAAGCCTTACTTGATCTCCTTCTCAATCTGCTGCTGCTCCCTCATCACTTTGCCCAGCTCTTTCTTCTTGTCCTTGAGTTCGTCCTCCACTTTGTCCATGCGCTTCTTGTCCTTATCAATCTCTTTGTTCTTGGAGCCCAGCTCCTTGTTCAGCTTCTCAATTTCAGCTTCGTTGTGGTACAGCTTGAACAGCTGCAGCTGGACTTGGGCTCGCACCACCTCGTCCTTCAGGCGCTGGTACCGATCCGCCTGGTTCCCCATGGGAGAAAAGGGAAAAGCCACGATGTTTCACAGGTGCCTTGCCTAAAGAACCTCGTGAGCCAAGAATAAAGTGAACACCCTCCTCAACCAGAAGCCAAACCTCTCCTTGTGTCCAACCCAGCTCTTGATTTCATTAAGCACCCAACCCCAACACCCACTGGGCACAATGTCATCTTATTCCTTTGAAAATATTCCACCACCACAGGCAGCACTGCAACAGCAAACAATCAACCAGGGAGGAAAGTATACATGAGGACAAACCAAGTTGGGGAGCGAGATGTTTTCAGTCAAGAGTCATACAGAGGTTACGTAGCATCTCCCCATGTCTGCTTGCCTGAGTCCTTCCATCTCAAGATCAGCGAGAGGCATGTGGCTGAGTGACTACTGAAGATGGAGGTCTTAATAGGGGAACTCTGACAAGGATTCACAAGGTTCCTCTAGTTCCATCACACCACTCTTTAAATATCACACTTACCTTGAAAGCTCTATTAGGGTCGCTATTAGTCAGTTCTGACTTGAAAGCACATAACATGCCATATTTTAAAGCAGAGCTGTGCTCCCAGACTCCTTCCAGAATTACAATTAAGGTCAGAAAAAAAGTATACAGTGGTGCCTCGCATTACGTTAATTCGTTCCAGCGAAATTGCTGTAAAACAAAAACGTCGTAATGCAATTTTAAAAAGCCCATAGAAACGCATTAAAACCCAATTAATGCATTCCTAGGGGCTTGAAACTCACCATCCAGCGAAGATCCTCCATAGCGCGGCCATTCTCACTGCCTGTGCAGCAAGGAATCCGTGCCAGAAAAGAGCGGGCGGCTATTTTGTTTACCCGCGGCCATTTTGAAACCGCTGATCAGCTGGCCAAAAATCATTGTTTTGCGATGATCGGTTCCCGAAGTAGGGAACCATCGCAAAGCGAAATTCCCCCATAGGGAACATCGTTTTGCGATTGCAAAAACATCGACGTCTAGCGATTTCGTCGTCAAACGGAGTGCCCGTTAAGCGAGGCACCACTGTATACTCATAACACACACCATTTTCAAGTGAAAATAGCACATTTTCTGCTAATGGGGGGACAGAGCTACAAAAGCAGGCAGGTGGCAAATGTGGCCTACAGGCCACATGCTGTTGATTCACACAGTACCACAATTCCATCCTTAACTGGACTGCTGTTTTTGACCACCACTGGGTGTCTGCCACTGCGAAATAACCTGTTATCAAAAATAACATCACCTGAATAACAGGGAGACGTTCTATACCAGATGTGGGGACTACATGGCTGTTCCAATCTTGCCGGACTCCCAGTTTCCATGAGATTTAGCCAACATGGTCAACATTCAGGCATGCTGGAAGTGGAAATCTAAGCAACACCTGGAAGGCTACAGACTCCCAGTCCCTGTTCTATTCTTCAAAATGAACTTTATGTCATAAACATGTCTAACTTGGTTCCCAGTTAATCTTTGCCTATGAAAAATTAAAATGACAATAATCTTATTTATGTTGCATAAATTAATTTTATATAACTAAGAAGGTTGAAAGCCTATTTTGTGGTTCCTAACATTCAATGTAACATCTCTCAAAAAAACTGCTATAAATAATTTTTCAGATGCAGCATCTCACATTGTTGAGCCACTGGTAAATCACTTTCATATATATTTATTCAAAAATGAATTATCTCCTTTTTCATTCCTCTCCTGCCAGAGACTGGATGATGTCATGTCTATTCTGACTCTAAATGCAACAGCTCTAGACAAATGCTTCTCACACTGTGAACAGGCATATCCAATACGTTTTGCTTGTCACCCACCTAGTTTCAGTGAGTCTAGGGACCAATTTTCTGTCCTGAAAAGCACCAAAGCCCCCCATAAAACTGGAGACAATTGGAAAGCCACTTCCATTTCTGAGAATAGGTATTTTTTTAAAATAGGAACGTGGAGGGAGCTGCAATCCATTTCAAAGGTGAATCACTGGTCCTAGCAATTTCCAGGAGTGGCAATTTATCCTTTTCAGGAAAAAAAAGAGGACCAAATGGAGGACTAGGAGAAAACTGGAGCCGGTCAGAAATATTCTGCTGAGGCATAACCAATGTGCCCATGCCACCCCCAAGGCCCAAGCAAGCCTTATCACTAACAAGCCATGCCACCTCCAGCCTGTAGAGGAGATGATGCAGGGAACAAACTTGGGGAGAAGAAGGGAGCCTGATGCTACCTCTTCCTTCTCTTGCTTGGCCTCCTTGCGCTCAGCAGCAATGTTCTTCTTGCGGTGGTAATTGAACTGTGTGTCCTCTTCAGCCTTGACCATCTCCTTCTTGCGCTTGTCGTACTCCTGGGCCAGCTCCCCTGAGCGACTGATCTCCTCGAAGAGGGCTGTGCGTTCCTTGGGGTTCTTCATGGCAATGGATTCCACTGCGCCCTGAGAGAGTGGACGGGGTCAGTGTCAGGCTAATCTTGCCACACTCTCTGCCAGGGATAGCCCAAGACAGACACGCTGCCTGAAGTGGAGCAGCGCATGTCATAAATCTCAACTAAACCATGTTAACGGATGTCATAATGAATGTTAACGGATGTCAGGCATGAAGCAGAACTCCAACCCCAGCACTAAGAGTAACAGAGAAGAATAACTAAGTAAATACACTGGTGCCTCACATTACTACGTTAATTCGTTCCAGCGAAATCGCTGTAGAACAAAAACATCGTAATGCGAAAATAAAAAGCCCACTGAAACGCACTGAAACCCCTTCAATGCGTTCCAATGGGCTGGAAACTCACCGTCCAGCAAAGCCCCTCCATAGGGCAGCCATTTTCGGTGGCTGTCTTGTGAGGAATCCATCCCAGAAAACAGCGGGGAGCCATTTTATTTACCCGGCGGCCATTTTGAAACCGCCGATCAGCTGGAGGAAAATAGTCGTTTTGCGAAGAATCAGTTCCCGAAGCAGGGAACCGATCATCACAAAGCGAAAAAATCCCATTCAGACCATCATTTTGCGATCACAATTGTGATTGCAAAAAGATTGTCGTAATGTGAGGCAATCGTAATGCGGGGCAATCGTAAAGCGAGGCACCACTGTAAGTACAAATATGCTGCCCTTTCAGATCTCCCCAAAACTAACTTCATGATAGCGGAAATTCCTACTGGAAGGAGACTTGACAGCCAGAAAACTCACATTTGGTTCATTTCCAGCAATCCAGACATAAAATATGTCATTGGTGCAATCATCTTATACCTTTTTTAATTAAATTTTTGCCTTCTCTTAAGGAGCTGGTTGAGGAACAGCCCACAGCCAAATTCACTGCTACCTAAATCAGTTGTCTAATATTGAGGCCAGACCTCCCATCCTGCATCCTCCTAATATGGAGCAAACAGTGGGGGGGGGGATAGCTGGCAGACAGGGGGCACCAACAAGAGGAAATGTGTTAGATCAGGCAAGACCTTTTAGCTCTCTCCTCACAGCCAGCCTGTGGCAAGAGCCCCAGCTCAGCTGGACAGTAGCAAAAACCATCCCCAAGGCACAAGAGTCACGTGACACTTTTATCGGCCCCTTCAGACTCACTGGTGGTGGGCAGTGCACACTTGTTATAAGACATGGGACTACTCCAGCATCCAGTGCAAATGTTTTGCAAGAAACCCCACTTACACTTGCCTTCCTACTTGAAGGATTAGAGGCATACACTGAGATATCCCCTTGGAATCCACATTGCTTCCATACAGCACAATGGCATTAAGGGGCAACTACGGCCATGTGCTTTTCAGAAGTATTTAAAATGGGTGGAGACTGAGTAGCCCTCCACATGCTGTTGAAATTAAACTCAATGCATTCCTTAACAATCGCTATTCTGGCTAAGACAGAGAAGAGTTACAGTCTAGTTTCTCAACACACCCATATCTCAATCCATACCTATGCTTAAGCTGGCCATGAGAACTCATACTAGGGAAATATCCATGCACTTGATTCAATTTAATTCTGTACTGCTTTGTCTAAGGACAGTCTCCACTTATTTTGACTACAGATCTGAAAAACAAGCTTACCTGGAAGACCAGGAAGTTTCTAGCTTTGATCAGAATGCCCAGTTTCTCCAGCTCCTCACTGTATTCGCTCAGCTGTACCACCTTGTTGTTTATTTTGTATTCTGATGAGCTTCCTAGAAAACACACATTTTACATTTATCAATACCCAGATAAGGTCAAAAGCCCAAATGCAACATGTTCCCTTTCAGAACCTGCTTCCATCCACTTATATTATGAAGGCAACTGTTGCAAATATTTCTACAACTTTTACTACATGGTGATGGGAAGCCTTCTAGAAAAAAAGGACACCAACAAAATGCAAAAAGACAGGATGGGATGTGTTTAAATCGGGAAAAGGCAAAGTGTGGACCTCCAGATATCACTGGATTGAAACTTACATCCGTCTTAGCGCCATCGCTGAAAGTGAGGGATGTTGGGAGCTGCTATCTAACAACATCTCAATACCTACATTTTGCCCATCTGGTTTAGAACAGCTTTAACATTTACAGATGCTACATACAGCATCTAGCCTTGTCAGGTGTCAGCCAGCCAGTTTCTGATCATAATATTATAGTCAGATAATACAGCATGGTGCAGAAAAGCACCAAGGCAATCCTGTTTTGCTGGTATTCCCACAAGGATAATACAAGAAGTACAAACTGCTGACCAGATTTTAAAAAGGAGTTTCAGTTCTAGATCAGTGGTTCTTAACCTTGGGTTACTCAGGTGTTTTTGAACTGCAACTCCCAGAAACCCCAGCCAGCACAACTGGTGGTGAAGGCTTCTGGGACTTGCAGTCCAAAAACACCTGGGTAACCAAGGTTAAGAACCACTGTTCTAGATGACAAAGACTGCAATCTGACGCACGTTTGCGAGGGAATAAGCCCCACTGAAACCAGTGGGAGCCAGTTCTGACTAAACATACAAGGAATTGGGCTACAATAACCCACCAAAGATATTCCATACATTTATTCCAGGCTAAGAAAGTCCCACCACGTGTAGCTCCCTTATGTCAGCCCTCCTGCCCCTTCCAACCACACAATGCCTTGTAATGTGGGCACATGAAAGAGCCCCCTCTTCTATCCCAAGCAGCCACCCCATTATGCAACCCTGCATTAAAGCCAAAAAGCATTTCTCTTCTTCCTCCCAAGACTCTCCTGCAGTGTCCAAAAATGGCACCACTATCCAGTACTTGGTCACAAAGTCACCTCACTAAGTTTTTTTCAGCCAGGGGCAATGTGGCAAATGTGTTCCTTCTAATCTTCCAGGTCATTCCTATGCCAAGGTGCATAGTACCCAAGCTAGCCTACTTATTTTGGCATGTTGTTTTATTATTTAATTTTAAATATTTTTACCAAGCCTTTATCCTTAAAAAGGACACAAGGCAGCGTACATCATTAAAATACAGTATTTAAAGCTAAAAACAGTAAGGCTACAACATTAAAAAAAAAACCTGGCTGAAAATCTCCAAAATATCTCTCTATTCACACTTGTGGAAAACACACAGCCTTACTTTGGTGCCTATGCAACCACCATATATGATTGAGTTGTCATATAGGATCATGTGGAGTTCTGAGTTTTAATTTCTAAACCACCCAGAGTAGTGTTTCCATTACAGGGGTGGTATATAAATCAAATCAAAATCAATAAATCTGGCCCAAGGTGTTTCAAATTTAAGGGCCTGGGCACCTCCTAGAAACATCATACAAGCCAGTATCAACCATGGCCTGCTAAAAGGTGCCATTTCTATCAGATGCCCCCTGGAGATTTCTCTACTTTGTCCCCAAAGCTTACCCACGATGACCCTTGCAAAAGTGCGATCTTCAGCACCATCTTCAGAGTAGACCATGCTGACAAATGCCCGGTTGGCAGCCGGCTTTCCGACAGGAGCTCCATGAATTAGATCCCGCAAAGTCTTGACTCTCAGATTACTGGTCTTCTCACCAAGCACAAAGCTGATGGCATCCATGAGGTTTGATTTGCCTGGATGGAGATGGGGAGGAAAGGCACACCACATTTTTGTAGAAATGCTATGTAACAGCCATCCAGGTGTAATTGTACCCACCAACAGCTGTGCCTTGCACTATAATATTTTTTCAAAACTAGAATTCAACCCAGTAATGTGGAAAGAAAAAATATGCCTCACACTGGTGAAGGAAAAACGTATCTTGCAGCACAAGAATTCCCAGACAACTTGAGTTATGTTTTCTATTTTTAGAAAATTATGCATCGCCTGACATGTACTGTCACCATATAGGTACTTTTCCTGACAGGGCTTTGTCTGAGGTACAAAGAAGTGTTAACAAAACAAACATTATTTTCTCAGCCTAGCCATGAGCTTTCCACCGCCAAGGGAAGTGTTGCATCTATCTCTTTTTCCTTTTTTCATTAGAATCAGTGAATTCCTCCTGAACTTTAGCGGAACTGTCACCTGTCTGCACCTAAATCAGTGTGTACCAAACAGTGACTCACAAAGCAGTGAGATCTTTAAAGAGTAGGCCAGAAAACTATTTCTCACAAGGCAGTCAAGGGGCATCTAACTGTTCCTGCTACAGTATGTGAACAACTAGTTCACATGACAAAAACACTCCCTTTTAAAAAATAAACGGTCACCGAGAAAACAATCAACGAGGAAGAAACTAGCCCAATCCTCTTCCTGAAATGCTAGGTTTCTCCTTGCAAGGAGCATATATTTGCAACAAACATCTAAGCATACAAGCGTCTGCTGCCCAAGGGTACACGTTTATCACCGGGAGGCTCTCTCCTTGTTTAGGCACCGGCCGAACCCCCTGCTTCTCCCCCCCCATTGAGGGACAGGATCCCTCCATCTTTTCCACGAAGAGCAGCGGGGCTGACCCTTGAGCGCCTTTCCAGAACAGCGACCCATACAGAGAGACCCATAACGCGCACCTCGCCCCGAGGCCTTATTTTTACTCCAGCCCCTCCTCGGGGGTGGTCGAGGGGACCCATCCATGCAGGGCCGGATCCTCGCCCTTGCCAGGAATCTTCCTCCCCCCCCTCCATCCCACCCCGCGTACCAGATCCATTGGGCCCGATGATGGCCGTGAAGCGCCGGAAAGGACCGATGATTTGCCGCCCCTTGTACGATTTGAAATTCTCGATCTCGATCAGCTTGAGGAACCCCATTTCGCGGGGAAGGAAAAGAGGGGGGTGGGGGAAACTACGGGGCCCGGCAGGGGACACAGAGAGAGAGACAGAGAGGACACCAGAGCCCCCCTCGGTCAGGTCCTCCGGGCCCCCGTACCCGTCCACTCTAGCCCGCGTTCCACCACAGGAACGGGAGCCCGGAAATCTCGCGAGAACTCACGACCCCAATGACAAGCCGCGGCTCAGCCTTGCTCCCTGTTAAGGGCGATGTAGTGATCATCCCGCCTCCTCCGAAATACCGGCTGGTGATAGGGCGCCCCTTGCGCGATGAACTTTGCATACGAAGCTCCTTCCCTCTTACCCTCTCTCTAACGCCTAGAGAGGGACGGTGTCATTCAACGGCGTTCCGCCCATAACTTACGGTTCAGCTGATAGGCTGCCACCTGCCAAATTTGCATACATTGACGTGTAGGAAAGAGCCAATACGTCCCTTCCGAGGGTGAGTTTGATAGAACTGGTCCGTTGTCATAGAAACCAGGAGGCAAACAGAGGTGGTCATTCGCTTCCAGAGCTAGAAGGTGAGCGCTGGAAAAGGGGGTGTTTGGGGGACGGTTGGTATCCAGGTTAAATACGATAGACAGACAAACAGATAGATAGATAGATAGATAGATAGATAGATAGATAGATAGATAGATAGATAGATAGATGATTGGGCAGAGCTATTCACAATTTATTTGCAATTTCAATTTGCTGCCCACTTGTTTATCAGTGGATTTCTTTCAGGAATAAGCATGCCAATTGCTACGACGCGGATGGGGTCCTATAAATCCCCAGGTGTTCTTTAACTTCAACTCTCATTATTCTGGCCATTGGTTAAGCTAGCTGGGGCTGATGGGGGTTGCAGTCCAACAGCAATCAGACTACTGCACATTCTCCATCTCTGGGCTACAGCCTTTGATCCATTGTGTATTTCCTCAAAAGTACTTTCTGTGGAATTGAAATAAATTAGCAATCCATACAGGATGTATTTTTATTCAGGAGTGGAAACTTGTAATAAATTTTAGAATCATTTCAAAAGAAAAGCTGCTATATCGTATGTAGCTTTTATTTTTGCCAAAATATTACAGTGTACAGTATCTCCAACTCCATACAGGAGAGCTCATCTTTTTAAGGCTCCAGCAGGATTTCTGCAATGCCTTCAGGCTACAGGGAGGGAGAAAATAGGGATTTTTCTTTTTCTTTACCACTTTCATTAAACTTGCAGTAGATTTCTGCTATATGGGGTTGAGGGTGAAATACAAAAAAGAGTTGGTGATAGCACTGTATTAATAGAGCAGGTGCTTTGATTGCCAAAGATTGCAGATTGAGCTTTACCTTCTCCAGTGGGCCCTTGGGAAGAAGGCTACCTTTTGCCACTTAGTACTGAGGACAGTAATGAGCAAGAGGGACCAACTCTTGCCTTTAGTGTGGACACAGGAGTATTCTTTGCATCAGGCAAGGATAACAGTAGATTAAGAACGGTGGAGACAACCTCAGATGTAGTCCTTACCTTCTGTAAGCAAGCTGTGGGAAATCTACAGGCTGCAGGCAACCTCACTTATATCCCAAAGGTAGCAAAAACAAACTCATCCATGTACACAAGGCATGCAGGAAAGCCTCCAGGAAACATACCCTACCTTGGAAACAAGGATTGCGTTCCTCACATTTCTTGTTTAAGTAGGGATAAAGAGGGTTCCTGAGTGGGTTAATGTTCCCCACTATTCTCCATTTCTTTATTTTTTCATTTTCTAGTTGATATTTAAATGCCTTCAGTGTGCTGCTTATTTATGGTACTCGACTACAAGCAGAATCTGCCTTGACCAGGAAGGGCAGCATGTGGTCTGCCAGCTGCTGTTAGATTGTCATACCAATAATCCCTTGGCATGGGTTAGGCAGTTTAGATGTAGCTGTGGGTGGGGAGCTCTCACTATGGGCTCAACAGCAGACTAGCTTTGATGGGACTTCAACATCATATTCCCCATTCTTGACCTTGGTGACAGAGGAGTCACCAACAATCCTGGCAGATCTAATTCAGGCAACAGTTTTTCCTCACACCGATCCTAGGGGACTTAGAGTAGTCAGACTCTAGCCAAGTGTCTGTTCTTAGCAATTAGTAAGGAGTGGCATCAGCTTAGTGAGCAAATGGGATAGGAACTGGAACATCTTTTTGAAAGCCTCTCCTTTTCCCTCACACACACAAAAACATTACTCAGTTACAGGTGGAAAATGTATAAAGTGGACCTTCAGACCGATGTAAAAGAGGCAGCTGCCATCGAAGCCCGCAGGAACCGAGAGAAGCAAAGACAGAGCCGCATCTTTAACACTCGCTACCGCACAATGGGGGTGAGACAGAGGGCTGTGGAGCTGTGTGTTGGGTTTTGGATAAGGGCTTCTTTGGTCAGAAGCTCTGGAAGGGAGTCCCATTGAGCAGGAGCAGCTGCAGGAAGCAATCTTTGCATACAGATTATCTTCAATAAGAATGTCCTTTTCCAGAGGAGATTCCTCAGGGTTTCCCTTTCAGCTTGTTCATTAAGATGCATTGGGAGAGATGGATTTAGGCTAATCTTTCTTCCCAAAGGAGCTGGAGGGCTAAAGGATTATGAATGAAAGATGGGGTTCCTCACTTTCTGGATTCCACATTCTCAGAATTTAGGGAAGTTATTATTTTGGCCTATAACTCCCAGAGAAGTAGGAAGCATGCTGAATTGAGGCTTCTGGGAGCTATTGCTCAAACATATACGGTAATTTCCACCAAATCCCTGTGTCTGTGATTCATAGGATAGATCACGTGATTATTCCTCAGGAGCACCTATAGTTCAGGTTGTAGACAACAACCTGAGTTACGTATTAGGTATGTATGGCAGAAATTTAAACCTGAACCCCAAAATATCATTTGGGAGGGTAGCGGTTAAATATTTTTTGGAGAAGCTGGGACACTGAACTCAGGTGCATGCTGGAATATAAACAACTGTGAACATAATTATTTGATTCTGGGTTTGTCTACCATTAAACAATGTTTAAGAATTGTCCTCCCAATTCTACATATGTCATCCTTTTCGCTGTAATAAAAGCATGCAGTCTATGATGGCATTTTAACTGGCAATCTTTATCTACTAAAAAACTTTGCATCCTGCTTTTCTGCCACTCAAGATGCCTTGTATTAGAAACAGTTAATAATAAAAAAAATTAAAAATACTGTACTGAAATTCATCATCCAAAAAACAAAACAACATGGCAGACAAGAGATAAAAATACAATATGTCATTGGTAACTGGAAACTGGACAAGGATAGGCCCTACAGTTTCCCAACTAAATTTCAGGTGGCCACGAGACCCGAATAGGCCCAAATGACCTGAGAAAGCTGGCAAGTAAAGATATTAGGAAGCAGTCTTTTTATTTCTATTGTCCTCAGCCATTAGGACTTTAAAGGTGGCCATCTGCACTTTGACTTGAGTCCAGCAATAAACAAGAGACTTGCAAAACTGGACCAAGAGCAGGAACACACACTCTGAGTAAAAGGTTCTTCTCTCAAAAGCTTTATATTCTGAGCCACTGGGAGATAGAAGAGAGAGGAGATTTTATGCCATTTTGAATTTAGGTTCTAAGACACAGTCTCCTTTGTTCCTACTCAGGGCTTGGGAGAGGTGGGAGGGCAGACTTCAGGGATCCCATGTTTCAGTTGATGAACTGTGTTCCTCTGAGAAGCCTTCACCATGTGTTTTTGAACCTGGATTGTCATTGATGTCTCTTCCCCCTACTCAAGGTGGATGTGGAAGGCTTGAAAGGCCAGGTGGAAGAGCGGAAACTCCGAGAAAATGCAGAGAAAGAAAGGGATGAAGCTTTTGGTAAGATTTCTGCTCCCTTTCCCTCTTTCCCCAGATTTGGCCCACAGTGCTGATCTGAAAGATTAGCCAATCTATAGCACCGCTGTCGCGCAACTCAAGGCCCACAAGGATTGGTCACATACTCTTCGAAAGAAGGAAGTTTGAAATGCACTGCTTTCCATCACAGGGATTCTGCCAAGTGAAGTAGTGGCCTTCTTTGTGGTGGCCTTTTAGCCTTTGTAGAAGGTGACCTGCCATCTTTATTATCTTTCCTCTTCAGACCTTTTAAATAATTCGCAGGGTGTGCATGTTTTAAAGGAGGGTCAGGCTGGCCTTCAGCAGTTGCTGCACTACCACTCCTGGCATTCTTTACAATTGGCTGGGAGCGCCATGGCTGACAAGAGTTGACATCTAGCAACATCCAGATGGCTCTGCTTTTTAAGGGCTAATCTTATTTTTCTACTGCTAAGAGGAGGAATATTTTAGGTTGCGGTCCTCTGAAGATGCCGGCCACAGAGACTGGTGAAACGTCAGGAAGAACAACCTTCAGAACATGCCAAAGACCCCGAAAAACCCAGAACAACCACTCTTTTATTCTCTATTGGTCAATATATCTTAAAAAATGGGAGCCATGGGGACACATGAGGAATACTAGCACCCCCTCAAAACATAGCAAAATTGCTGTCATGTGGCAGTAGAAAGCCATTTTTCTTCATATATACTATCAGCTCTTATTCGTTTGTAATACTATTGAGTACAGTATTTTGAATGGATTGTTGTATTTTACTGCTTCAATTGTGTTTTGGTGTTCCTCATGTTTTTTTGTATAGCATTTGTATGATCCTTAGGATTCATCTATTCACTGTTAGTTTTAGTATTGTCTTTCAATGATGTAAGCCACCTTGGGTCTTTTTAAGGGGAAAGGTGGGGTAAAAATATTATAGATAAATAAATAAATAAATATTTGCATCTTGCTTTTCTGCCCTAAAAAGTGTCCCCACAATGGAAGTACAGTAAATAGGATTCTGGTGTAGAATGCTGTAATTTGCCAGTAAATTCTTCTAGAATCTCTGTCAATTTCTGTAAACATAAATAAACAGAAGGTACAATTTCAGAATATATAGCTAGTGGAGAAGCAACCAAAGATGGCAGAAACTGCCAAACTATGCAAAACAAGACAATCATGCAGATTTTGCTTAATTGATCAAATTCATATGTGTTGCAAAATATTTGGCATTTGTGTATGTGTCCAGTTCTTTCTGTTCTTATAGCACAGAAGTTTACCCGTGTGCTGCCCTGAGAGAACATATTGTTTGAGAAAGGGATGCACACTTGTGCCACTGTGCTCTTTTTTCTACAGACGCAGACAGGGTACAATGTGATAAGATTGCACAGATGCTGGAGGAAGAGGAGCGCCAGCGCAAAAAACAACTCAACCAGGCAGTGGTGGAATTCTGGAAGCAGGAGCAGCAGCCTTTCATGAGCCGCGAGTGGGACATCCACAACCCTGAGGCCATCCGTAAAGGGGTTCCTGCCCGTGTGAGTGATGATGACCCTCGCTGTGGACCTTCTAGCATGCAGCGCTTTGCTGGTGAAGACTTGAATGCTGCCCAGCGCAAGCTCCAGAAGGAGCAAAACAAACGTGTCCTGGAACTGCAGACAACTGAACGGAAAAAGGGCCTTGCTAACCAAAAATATGCCGGTATGTTAGGTATCTGTCTGCAGAGTCCGGTATTGGGAGTTCAATTCTCGACTGTGCTTCTCCTGTGAGTAGAGCCAGCCTGTGAGGCCCTGGGCAAGCTGCTTGGTCCCAGGGTGCCCTCAGAAGATGGGAACGTGAAGCTACTTCTGAGTACAGTGGTGCCTCACACAACAATGTTAATTGGTTCCAAAAAAATCAACGTTGTGTGAAAACATCGTTCTGTGAAGCACCATTTCCCATAGGAATGCATTGAAAACCGGTTAATCCGTTCCAATTGGAACGGATTGCCATCGTTCAGTGAAAATCCCCATAGGAAACATCGTTGAGTGAAACAATGTTTCCTATATTGGAATGTATTGAAGCCGACTCAATACATTTCAATGGCATTCAGATGTCTGTGTTTCCCTCATTTAAAAGTGCCTTAAACTGTTTGAAACCTGTTTTAAATGCTTGGCATCGATAGTCCAGCTTGTGAAAGGTATGCAAACTTAATTTGGTTGTGTTCTGAGTCTTCGTTCATTTTTGCTGATTTTTTTATTTTTCCTCATTGAAATGTATTGGACAAAACAAAAAAATCAGCAAAAATGAACAAAGACTCAGAACAACACCAAATTAAGTTTGCATACCTTTCACAAGCTGGACTATCGATGCCAAGCATTTAAAACAGTTTCCTAACAGTTTAAGGCACTTTTAAATGAGGGAAAAGGGACATCGTTATGTGAAAATCCCCCATAGGAAACATCGCTGTGTGAGGCAGCAAATTGATCAGAAAAAGACATTGTTATGTGAATTCATCGTTGTGTGAGGCACTCGTTGTGCGAGGCACCACTGTACTTGCTACCTAGATAACCTCGAAGAGACACGCCGTAAGTCAAAATTGACTTGATGGCGTATTATTATTAGATGTGGCCTGGGGTGATGGTGAGGCTGTGTTGCCTTTGAGACTTCTGTGTTGGTGCCAACAATGGGAAAGGTTTGGTTTTGGGGTTAGGAGTCCTGTTGACTTGATTGCCTGCCAGATGAACACTTGGCTATATTTGCAGTTGCATTGTTTTCCTTGCAGATATCCTGGATGACAAAAAGAGAATAGAGCTGGATCTGCGAGCTCTAGAGTTGGCACGATTAGAGGAGGAATGTCGCAGGGCCAAAGCCATGGCCATTGCAGACTTCAACCGAGCCCAGGTACCACCACTTTCTGTTAGCCACCTCTTCTGAGACCTGCCTAGAAACAGACATGAGCCTGTCCAGCACTATAATAACTGTGTGCCATCACGTAGTTTTTGATTCATGGCAAACCTTTGTCATGGTTTTGCAGTTAACAAACACACACACCTGTTTCTACTATTTCCTTCTTCCGGGGGTGCCCTGGGACCTTGCAGCTGGCCCAAAGCCTCTATGCTGAAGCCCACTGTTGGTCTGGAGAGGGAGAACTCTGCCTCATCTCTTTTCTTGGTCCAAGCCAGGCTGCAGAGGTTGCTGAGCAGCAGCGCCTAGCCCAGCAGCGGGAGCAGGACAATAACAATGCAGAAATCCACAATCACCTGACCAGCAACTTCCTGACAGAAAATCCAGACACAGCCAAAAGTCTGATGGGGCCGCAGCGGGTGATCGTCAGCCAGTGGAAGGGGATGAGCACTGCAGAAGTGGAGGCTGTGCTGAAGATGCAGGAAGAGCAATGCAAGGAGAACCAGGCAAGTGGTACTGACCACTGAGAGGATGGAAAAGAACACATTGGGTTGCTCAGGAAGAAATACTAGTGAAAGGAGTAGACATGCCTTAATGGCACTGACTGCATTTTCCAAGAGGGTGCCCAAGATGGGCTTTTATCATCCTTGGCCAGTAACTGGCCAGCAATTTGTTGTCTGTCCAGCAAGGTTGGGGACCTTTTTACCTGAGGAGGACTGTACTGACTCAGAGGCAGTATGTTGGGAGCGGCCTGCCAATAGTAGGCAGAGATCAAGCCAGTGTTTGGATGGGGCCAGCAGGACCATCCCTCCCAATGTGTCTCCATTGCCAGCATAATGCCAGCAGAACAATTGAACTTTGTTGCCAAAGACATGAACTAATTATGCAGAGAGGACCTGTCACATTAGCCTCAGGGGTGGACAAAGTGAAGCCAGGAATTCATTGGGGCACTAGGTCTTCAGCTTGCAAAACCAAAGGCGTACGTATGTTGATTAATCACCACTCTGGAACATGAAGCATATCCTCCTCCCAATAATGAAAAGGCTACCCTTGGTTGTTCTGTAGATTCAATAACCTTTCCCGCCCTCTGAGATTTTTGCTGGTATTTCTTCCTGCTGGTTACACGCATTGTTAGCAGTGGATAAACTCATAGATAGCTGGAATATTATTGCAAGAATACTCTGCAGCTGCAAAGCACAGTTGAAGCCTTCAGAATGCTACATGAGGGGAGGGCTGGGCAATCTCAGCAGGACTAAGGGCCATGTTTCATATTTTCTGCATTCCTAAGGGGTCGGGTAAAGTGGTGAGGTGTGCTCAAAGAAGCTGATCTGCACAAGTAATTTTCTAATTATTTAGAAAAGAAATGGCTTCAATTAAAAAGAATTAGGAGGGTTTTCCCTGAAAAGCCCACTCTCACCCTCTAGTGGTCATTTTTGGTAAAAAAAAAAAATCTAAAAGGTGTACTGTAGGTAGGGTATCGGAGCCTGTGAGAACATGACAAAATTACCTTCTCTGCTTCCTAGAAGGTACAAAGGAATTATGAGGAAATCATCCCCGACAAACAGAAATTTGTGGAATGTGGGAGGACTTGAGCACTGAAAAAAATAACCAAAATCTGTCTGCAATTCTTAAGCTGTATATTACCCATACCAATATACCTATTATCTCAGTAATCGCTCACAAACGTCTTGCAAGGTAGTCCAGTATGAACTCTGTGTTCAAATGCAAGGAGTAAGACAAAGGCAGCGAGCCCAGTAGTTTGTTCTGTGGCCCTTGTGTATGTTTCTAGCAAAGCTGATATTTGAACAGAAGAGCTCCCATTTGGAACGTCTACCCTGTACCACTTTCTCAAGGGCCTTGTGCCTCTTGGTTCCCCTAGAGGATGCGGGAAGCAGAGCGCCAGCGGGAGGCTGAGTGGGGTCGGCAGCAGGAACTGGCTGCCCGTGCTGCCATGGTGGTGGAAGAAGAGGAACAAAATTTCCGCCGGCAGCTGAGGAAGAGCTTGGATGCCTATAATAAGGAGCTGGCAGAAGCACAGAAGTCAAAGTGAGTAGCCATGGGGCGCAAGGCAACTCTGCCCATGTGGCAGGTGGGACACTTGCCCCAGTCTGAGGAATTTCGGTAGATGGAAGGGCAGTAGTGGAGCGGGAGACCAATGTGATCTAGTGGTCATTCTCCTTTTATTGGAGTCTTGTAAAAGAACTCCCCATGTTGGTTAATATCCTGTTCTGTATCCCCAGCAGGAGTGACATTACTCACAGTGGCAAATTGCTGCTAATTAGCGTTCTCTGAATCAGAGTTGTGTATGACTTCATCTCACTGTGTGTGAACTGCATGTAACCTAAGGAATTAAAGGAACCATTTAATTATTGGCAATCTGTCGCTGCTTGTGATGTCGCTGATGGCAGAGCTACAGAATAGGATACTGCCCAGCAATAAGGGAATGCCACTAGACTCTTGTGTAACACTAAAATAGTCTGGCAACCACAGAAACCTTATGAGTGCTAGAACAGGGGGAGCCAAGGGAGGTAGAAAAGCTCCATATGGATATACTTTAGACATCTGTTTGGACCATGGTTGTTGTGATTATGCATTTAATTTGGATTGTCCTGGAGGCAGCACTTTTTAGACAGACAACCTTTCCAGAAGAATGGGGACTTCTGTAGCTATCTAACGAGAAAGTAGTACATTGCGCGTACACTGATAGCTATTATGTTCCTAGGTAACGTTCTACCAAAAGATGGATGATGTCATGTTGCTCTATTTTTGAAAATGACAATCAAAATTTGCCCTTTTCTTCACATTGAGGATGAAAAGAATGTGAATTTTTTAAAAAAAAGAATGTGGGAGAAAGCAAAATTGACAAATTCATCTATCTAGGCCTAGGGGCTTGTGCTTAACTCTTAAACCTGATCCCCTATGTAGTCCATCATGTCAGTATTGAATTAGGGTTACCACAACCTCCTTCAAATAGACTCATCTCTCACCCACATTACAAGCAGATAGTTTTTCTGCTGAGAACAGTGAAGCTTTACTGCCTTTGAATGGGAGAGAATTTCACTCCTATTCATTTTAGAGAGTCTTATCAAAAGTCACAGATCACATTCTCAGGACTGAAAGAAGTAAAAAATCTTGCGTGTTTGTATTAAGTGAGACCGATAGATTTCCCCATCCCTAATCCTCTCACTGAAAAATGCTGAGCTCTCAACAGAAGTGAAAAATACACACCATACTGTATTTACATAACTAATCAATATGCCTTGTCTGTTTTACAGCTTACACTATATGGAAAAAGAGGTCTACACCAATGCACCCACAGCCCAGTATCACTTGCAGTTTAGCACTAGCAGCCGTTGACTGAAGGAACTATGAATGCTGGAAGTCTTTTGACACGAGCAAAGTAAAGTATTTTGCAACCAAGCAAAGAGAGCCCCCTCGTGTCTGAAAGGCAGAGATACAAGAATGTGCCTGGACCAATGAACAAATCCAAAATCCATTTTGGGCTAGGTTCCTTAATATCATTTTAACTGCTCCAGATCATTCCACTGGAAGCCTTTTAGCTGATGGGTCCGTTTTCTGTTTGACTGAACTTGCACTGAAGATTGTTCAGCCACATGACAAGTTAAAAGGCATATCCATAGTCTTTTCTTAAAGGAGCAGGTGCTAACAGTTCAGTAACAGCAGACCAACCCTGAAGGGTACTTCTGAAAATCCTCCTTCAGTTACCATTCACGTGACAGACAAGAACCATCAGAAGATCACCATCATAGTTGGCTTCCTGCTCCTCCCGTGAGGCCATTGTAGGCCAGTGGTTCCCAGCTTTGGGTCTCCAGATGTTTTTGGACTAAAACTCCCAGAAGCCTTCACCGCTAGCTGTACTGGCCAGAATTTTTGCAAGTTGCAGTCCAAGAACATCTGGGGACACAAGGTGGCAAACCACTGTTCTAGATATAGCATTTGCCCATGCTTGTGGCCACCCTGTACCAACTGTCTTTGCTTTTGTGCACTTCAGTCCCTTCTTTGAAAGCTAGAGGAAAGAGAGGAGTTCACAGTGGTTTGTAGGAGGCCAGAGCCTTTCCCGTTCTGCTGAAGTGCTCTTTCCCCAGCTATCAATTTTTGGTGTTCTTTGCCCTCTCTCATTTTTGCCAAGGACTAAAGTATTATTTCTTTATTCTCTTTATTTGCACAATTTATTCAGTATATTCAAATAACATATGGGTTTCCTTTGTATATTTTGGTGCAATATGCAATTGATCCCCATGCAGGACATAGCAATAACTGTTTTGTCTTTTAAGATCCAGACATTAATCATTTGCTTTGCTGATTCTGAAGAAGGAAGCCGAGTGCAGGGAATCATAACCATGAGCAGATTCAAAAGTATTTTGATTAGTTGTCCAGTAAGAGTAAACATGTGCTGCATAATGCGGAAGAGTACACAAACTTTTGGTCTCTCCAATCAGTGTGGCAGTTCAGGGCTGCATTCGGATGGCTCCATCAAGTCGGATCACCTCGCCATTGAGCATAGGGTTCTCCACTATACATTGCACCATATGGGCATATTCCGCTGGATTACCAAGGCGACTTGGAAAAGGTACCTGCCGTGCTAGGAACGTCCGCACTTTTTCTGGAAGTGACCCCAGTAGAGGTGTTTCAAACAGCCCTGGAAGGGGGGGGGGAGAAAAAGAGGAAGATATCAGTAAAAAAAAGACTGTCCTACTAGGTTCTACCTACTTTACTGCAAACAGGTTTGGATGCAAACCACAATTTCTGGCAGATGGAGAGAATTATTAGTTGCACACTCAAACGTCCTAAGAATCTTAGTCTTCATTGATTTTTATTTTATTTTGTTAAGAGCACAGTTTCTAGAATGAATAGCTACAAAGATAGGCTTTGGAAATTCATAGTCAGTGCCTGTTGAAATATGGAATAATGTTCCTTCCACCAGGAATAAGCAATAAAGACTAAATATACAAAGTAAGAAAAAAAGGGGTTTTATAGGAAAACATTTGCACAGCTTTCTCTAATACATATAACTGCCCAAAGTGGCCTTGGCTGCCAGATTGACGGTATATAAATCCAATAACTAAATAAGCAAATTATGTATGTATGTATGTATGTATGCACGCATGCACGCATGCATGCATGCATGCATGCATGTACGTACATACAGTGGTGCCTCGCTTAACGAGTGCACCGTATAGCGATGTTTCCGTATAGCGATCCCTTTTTCGGGATCGCTATACGGAAACATACCCGATCGTCGCAATGGGGAAAACCCGCATTGCGAAGATCAGGTATTGCGGCGGCCATTTTGGAGCCGCCGAACAGCTGATCGGAGGTTCCAAAATGGCCGCCAGAAGCCCGGAAATGGCTGCCGGCAGCCGTTTTCGCGCCCTGCCCTTGCTTAGCGAAGGCGTGAAAATGGCTGCCGGCAATTGGAATCCTCGCTGAACGGGTAAGTAAGAAAGGTATGGGAACGCATTAAACTAAGTTTAATGCGTTTCAATACATTTTCCCTACCCGTTTAGCGACGATTTCGCATAGTGAGGGTTAATCCGGAACAGATTAACCTCGCTATGCGGGGCACGACTGTACGTACGTATGTATGTGGACTGCACATGATGTTCCAGCCCTGTCATTGCCGTCTGATGTTTTAACCTGATGACAACTCTTTAAAGGTTCTATTCTTGTCTTCCAATGCCCAGATTCAGGGCAGTTTTGGTACCTGGCGCAATGGTGACAACTCTGATCCCCATAGGGGCAAGATCCCGGGCAATTGGTAGCGTCATTGACACAATGCCTCCTTTTGAAGCAGAATAAGCAGCCTGACCAACCTGTAAGACAAATATTGAACAGCTTAGTTTCTTAAAGACAGTAGACCAAAGTACCCCTGTTTAGTACAGCGACAAGTTAATGTTATCCAAAACACACATAGAAAGTCCTGGTGTGAATAGCACATGGCACTGAGATAAAGCTTCTTAAATTACAGATTGTTGTGTGCTGTCAAGCCAGTTACAGGAAATAAGGGGAGATGAGCAATCATTCTGAATTGCAGAGACAGTGAAGCCAAAGATGGAAGAAGGTAATCCGCTGGGACTAATGAACCACTAGCAGTTCTTGAAAGGTAGCTTAATGCTGGCCAGCATCTTCTGCCACTTGTGAAATGAATCAAGTCCAAAGCATGAGAAGGTGCTATCCTGTTTTGCACTAAAGAACATACAAAGCTCCATGATTTCCCCATCCCTTGGGGTAGGTTTGCCTCTTTGTTTATTGAGCAGTGCTATTTAGGAAAAGACGACAAAAGTCTGCTTCCATGCCACAGATGTCTTTTTGCTCCTGTCCAGGAGTTCCACAAACCATAGGCTACTTTAAACCTAGAGACTAGCTGTCCTTAGATTATTTCAGCTTTGATACCCAGTCTCCTTCTTACCCATTTCTTTCAACATAAGGCATCTTGTGATCCTAAATCCAGGTGATCACTATCAGAAGTATAAGAGCAGAATATTCCTGTGCCACTCTATAATGAGGATGCAGAAGCAACCTGAGCGATGCCTGGGGGAGCTGTGCTCTCACAAATGCTAGAAAAGCAGTGTATACTCTGTTAGGTCCACCTCACAAGTGTTGCTACAAAAGCCACGGCCCATATTACAAAATAACACAGTGCAGCCATTGTGTAGACAAGTGTTGCTACAAAAGCCACGGCCCATGTTACAGAATAACACAGTGCAACCATTGTGTAGCTTAAATCAGTGGTCCCCAACCTTTTCGGAACTGCAGACCAATTGGGTGTGTGCAAGTGTTGCTACAAAAGCCACGGCCCATGTTACAGAATAACACAGTGCAACCATTGTGTAGCTTAAATCAGTGGTCCCCAACCTTTTTGGAACTGCAGACCAATTGGGTGTGTATGTGTGTCCATGCGTGGGTGGGCAGGGGCACCCCCCCATTCATGGGTGGTCGTGGCACATTCGTGGATGGGCATGGCGTGCTCGTGGGTGAGTGGGAGGTGTGCACGCATGCGTGCCACGCTCACCATGCCTGTGTACGAGGAGGCAGGAGATCTGTCTCTGTGGCTCGGTCCTGCAAAGCCCACAGACTGGCACCAGGCCACAGACTGGGGGTTGGGGACCCCTGGCTTAAACGTGCCTTTTAAGTTGTAAAGATCTTCCAAAAAGCTATTTCAAATTGTCTTACTGGAAGATTGTATTTCAGACAATAATTTGTAACTCCCAGTAACACCTGATATATTCTTAATCTATTCAGAATGCTATATTTTGAATGCTAACTCAACATGCAAATATATTAAATTGATCTTTTGGCATAACAGGATAAGATATGAAAACAATTAATAATCCTTTACATTTCTGTCCAGACAGAGGAAGTTCTCATAGTCACTTATTTCTCAATAGAAATGGAGTTTGTTCCTAAGACCCTTTCTACATGAAGTTCTCTAGAAAAAAATAATCCATTCCAGTCTATTTTAGCCTTTTCAGTGAACTATCAAAAGAGAGAGTTTCAATTTCTTAAAACTACATTTTAATCATTTCAGTATATAAGACTGCCATCTTATATATACTTATCGGGACACAACTCCCAGTAAGCAGTTGTTTACTCATGTGCGACTCTTCATGAGTGGAAGTTAAATCTGAGGCAGCATGAACTGCACTCCATATGATGTACACATTCCAATTTTAATACTAAAGACTGGTTCATCATTGTATGTTTATCATGATAATGTAGAGTAATAGTTGGTAGGGGTCGAATGATGCACTGCAGGACAAACACTGAATATTAAACTTCTACCTATTCAGCTGTAAGTTATCAAACATTTAATAAGAAAAATGTCAGTCTGGTACGGTTTCCATGCCCAGTGTATTTCATGAGATTGTACTGAAACGACAGAAGACCTTTTCTACTGAGCTCGAAGTGCAAAGAGTTACTTTCTAAGGTTCTAAAAACCTCAGTACCACATCTTCCACTGAAAAGAAAGGTATCAAGGGAGTGGCTAAAGCCCCACATCTCTGATCCTTCCCTGCTCCACCTTCACACAGACACTCTGCTCTTGCTTCCTGCCACACCTTTCTCATTTTCTAATGACACTACTAAGTACAGAAATATTCGTTTTCAGTTCAAGATAGATACAGTGGATGTTGCCAACCAGTTCAGATAACTAAGGAATTGTGCAACTCACCTGCCCCTCAAAGGCAGCCACACTGGCAGTGTTGATGATCACTCCCCTGTGTCCATCTGCATCAGGTTTATTCTTCCCCATCTCACCTGCACTCAGGCGAATTACATTGAACGTTCCGATAAGGTTCACCTGAGAAGCACAGACAGATGAAGTGACTGAAGCTCTATCCCCACCCTTTCCAACTGAGAGGACCAGACAACAAAACATCAATCCACTAGCATACATAAGCAAACACTGTCTTTTCCACCCTTTGCACCATCTTCATATGTACCTCAAGAGGTCAACCCATAGGCAGCACATGGACCTGAGAAGCGTTTTGTGTAGCTTGCCTTTGGTGAACTAGATGACCCAGCCACCAGTTTACCACAAGAACTTCTGACATTACTGCCATGGCTCCAGCTACTGCCATCACCCCTTTTGACATGGAGATGGGGGTTACACAACAGTGAACAAGCTCAAGCAAAGTAAGTTTGTACACCCCTAAGGAAACTAAGACAAAGCGCAGTTCCATGAGTACCTATCTTTGTGTAGCAAAAATGCCACCATCCATGCACAATGAGAAAGGTATTTGAACATCTGAGAGAATCTAAGACTTAAAAAAATTACAAAAAAAAAACTTTCAGAGAAAAAAACCCACTTAATTTCAGAGCAGGGAATATTCCTCCCACAAAGCCCACAGAGAACTGTACATCTTCGGTGGAATGTTGACTGATGGTGGCAGGGGGTAAAAGCCCCAGGAAAACTGGTTGGTGAAGAAGAAATACCTGGAAAAGGACATGGCTGGATCCCTGAATGGAAGAAGTGCTCACTAAAGTGATAGGGTTCATTTTTTCGATGATATATCTCTGACAAGGGAACAGATATTATACAATATTATACCTCTGACAAGGGAACAGATGGGACTACTTTGCTCTCTTACACCCACTTACATTGACAACTCTCTGGAAGTCCGCTAGTATGTGAGGTACATTCTTGTTTAAATTATAGGTCTTGAAAGCTACTGCAACCCCAGCACAGTTCACTGCCACATCTACACGCCCAAACTTCTCTCGTGCCAGTGCCAGGGCAGCATTCACATCTGACTCAGAAGTTACCTGGAAAGAGAGTAAGATATTAATTCAGCTCAGCCACTACATGTTGCCTCCCACCCACAGCTGGGAGCAAGAGGGCCCAAACGCTCGGATCCCTACATCTGCAGGAGCAAAGATACATCTGTCTCCCAACGCCTTGGCCACACTTTCTCCATCAGACTGTGGCAAATCCAGGAGCACGGCACTGCCTCCTTGTTGCACCAGCCGTTCTACTGTAGCACGGCCCAGCCCTGAAGCACCGCCGGTCACCAGGCCAACCATTCCCTGGGGGGAGAAGGGAGGGAGAAAAACACAGTACCAAAGTTAATATGTAAACACAGCGAGTCACAAGAAAAAGCCTTCTGATATAAGTCCTTACAGGCTTATAAGGAAACACAGATACAGGCTAGTTCCCAGATTTCTCTCCGTTTCAAAAGGATAGCAGGACTTCCTTACAAAAGCAGGGACTGCCATCCTTTTTTCTAGCAATTCCTTATGTCCCAAACTGTCTGATGACAGAAACATAGATGTGAATCTTCTCCCCACCCCTGATGTTAATGTAGAGAAACTGGTAGCCATACATGTGTTTGAAGTGCTGTAACTTTACTGGATTATTTGAACAGCAGCGAAGTTTTTTGCTGCAGGAAATATTATTCCCCCGCGTACAACCATCCAGACTCGTGTATTTCAACCTGCTGCACAACAGACACAAATAAAACAGCTGCCGCTGCTCACCTGTGTTGGGGAAAGCCTATACCTGTTGTATTTCTGCCTACTAAGTTGCTCTTAATAGGAGCCGAACACTTCTTTAAAAATGTTTCCTAAGGAAGGAAGCAGTTTTTCTTTCTATATCTCTTGAGAAATATATTTGTGGCGGTAAACTACTTTTCACTGTATAAAATACTGTAATCTCTCTCTCTCTCTCTAGCTTTCCCCCCCCCTTTACTCAGAGAACATTGGTCTCTCCCAAATTAATCGATCCCTCCCTCTATCCGTCCGCGCTGGTGGTCTCACCCAGCCTCTTCCCCGCTAGAACGGTGTCAGGCCTAATAATCGGACATCTGCCCCCTGTCGAGTCCCGTAGGGCCAACCACGTTGGCACTCCCGTCTTCTTCTTACCTTCACGCTCCTCAAGGCTGCCGCCATGTTGCCTCTCGAAAGGCCTTCCCTCCAAGCTCCGCCCCTTTCCCCGAAGAGAGCGGGCGGAAGTAAAGCAAGGACCCTCGTGTTGTGGGGCCGGCGGGGCAAGCGTGTGGCGGTTGCTGCTGGACCTTGGACGACACGTGTTTCCGCGGAAGTAAGTCCCACTCGTTTGAATAAAACCATGCTCGGCCTTTTGGCTAAGATTAAGTGTCGAATGAAGGTTGTTAGGAAAAAGTGGCTGACGAGCTCTCGCTCTCTCTCTGTTTGTGTGTGTATGTATCTTGAAGTGGAAAGTATGAGGTAGATGCCAGCGAGTGTCCTGGAAGGTGGAACGGATGGTGACGGCAAAAGGTCTTGAGCTTTAATAGGATTATAAGAATGCAAACATGGGCTTGCATTTAATTTGTAGTAATTTTACAGTTAGTGATAGGGTTAGGGCTGGGAGCCATGACAACATATCGAATATTGTAATTAAGGGACGAGATCTAATTGGGAGTATTTGTCACCTTATCATAGCCAGAAACATAATGTTGCTTTTAGGTGCACACCTAACATGGAAATAACTGGCAAGTTGATTTTACACATTCATGAGGGAGCCTGGATTAACCACAGCCCCATCATATATCCAGCAGGTGGTAAACGTAGACCAGCAGGTGGTAAACGTAGACTTGTTGCTATGTAGTGTATAGTATAGTCACCATTGGAATGCCCTTACCAGGGCTTTTTACTTTGTTTTGTTGAGTTTCTCCTGCTCTTTGTTGTTGCCTTTCCAGATAGCTTTACTGACAGTATTTTGAAGGTCTGACCTAATCATTCCTGAAGTGCACTAGTATATTCTACACTAGTTGCAACTTTTACTATAACAACATATGGAACTTGTTTCTGAAATCAAGTCTCCACATTACGAAGTAATGAATTTCAGTTGCTCAGCCTGAGAATTTCCATGCATACTTTTGACTTGGCAAGCAAATCAAGTTGAAATTCCCATGTGTGATCAATAACAGAACACAATCTTCTAGTAAACGTTCGTGTGCTGTTGTAAGGCTGGTCTCTAACTTTACAGTACCATGCTAATCAGACATATTTTCAAAAGCATGGCCTCTATAATATCAACACTAGCTGACAGACCAGTTCAGGTAGTAAATTGAAAAAAACGGAGTCTTCTTTTGAGTCTCCAAAATAGGAGCATCAAATTCATATGTAACATACATTTTCTGGATGTGGAGGCTGGGGAGAAATTCCTACAGTTCAGTTTCTAGGTGACTGAGTTGCTGAGGTTTTTCAAATAGTATTCCTGGGTTGCTGTGCTTTATAGTCAAGCTAGTGTTTCCATGTACCAATTTAGGCATTCTAAAAATTATTTTAAAAATAAAATCATGGACCAGCCCTTTCAGGACTGTATCACTCAATTTCTAGTGTTACATTTTCACCCTCTTTTTCATGTAGATGAGATTCAAATATATGATCCTGGTGTCTACATTGTAAGTGACAGTATCATCTATTTCATTGAGTATGTTGAATTAAAGCACTTTTGTTTTCTGTAGCTGCTGGCAAACAGAAATGTACCTGAATACAGGCCTTTTAATCATAACAAATGAAAAACAATATTTTGCAGCAGCCATGGCACATTTGGGTGCTTTCAATGTATACTCTTGACAAAATGATGTTGCATAAATGATTTGCCTCAACAGCGGCCAAATCTATTGGTATTCTGCAGTTCTGTGCAGTTTACACATATCTAATGCACAGATTTCTGAGAATCCTAGTTTTAAGTCCTAGACAGATTATGCAGAACATGTGTGTTGAAAATAGGACTTTGAGCTGCAGTGCAGAAGAACACAATGGCACCTTCTGCACACTTTTTTCCAGTCCACAATCCAGGTCCACAATCTGCTTCTTAAAGTCTCAAAAGAAGCTAGAAGTTAAGAGTTTAAGGAGTAAAAGAGCCCTTCATTGCACTGTGGCAGCTTTTCCCCATAAAGTTCTTATAACAAACGCTCCAAATCTGACTATATTCCAGAGATTATAGGGGTAATGAAGGAAAAAATTGCCAAACAAAGTATGTACCCCTCTAATGTATCTACAACCTCGTTCTTCCTCCTGTGCTTTTTTAGAATTTCTCAGTCTCCACCTGCTCCCCACCACAGCTCTTTTCCAGAAAGCAAACATACAGAAAATGCCAGTATATAGTGCAGGACAAAGTACATAGATACACAGTTTCATGATTTAAACAATATATTCCAAGCACAGACTATGAACAGCTCTGGCTCTAGACTTCAAAAAGAAAGGAGCTGCACACCAAGTTGGAAAGCTCTCCGTATATTAAGTGCCTTTTCTGTAGTAAAAAAAAAAAAAAAGGTACAAAGTCTTGATACGAAATATACAAAAATCCTCAGCCAAGGAAAACAGTTGCTTTTCTACAAATATCAGTAGCATTGCATAGAATAGCCTCTATAGGGTACAGGATATAGGAAAGGAGTCCAACAGAGTATGATGCTTTGAAACCTTGCTAGTAAATTGCCCAGGTGTATACATAGATTACATGAGAGCATGAAATAATGTATATCCTTAGTGCAATGTTGTTGCAAGAAACCCCTCATCACCACTCCCAGCATGCTCTGAAGTTCTGAGGACAGCACAAGGGTAGAACATTTTAGCAGTTATCCTGGCCAGGGACTTCTTCCCTCCAACAACCCCAAATAGAACACCGTGCTACTAGGGAGCTATTATTGCTTCAACTAAGCCAACAGTTATGAGGCCACCATCTGAATCAACAGGGAGAGGCTATTTAAAACCCATTTAAAACTGCCAGAGCACTGGTGATAAGAGGAGCCCCAAATGCTTGGGCCCTGCTCTTTTGACAGGGAGAAAGCAGGGCTGAGATTATGTTTTGACTGCAGGATGCATTGCTTGATCTTCAGCAGGCAGTCTAACACTGAAATATATACAGGATGAGTAGAGTCCTTGCAGGCAGAAGTGAAGGTGTGAAGGTCAGCAGCTTAGTAATGCTGAATGGAAAAGGGGAACCCTGAGCTGTTTTGAAAAGGCCACTGGGCAAGCAATACCCTGAGTAGCCAACAGGGGACAGGGCATGTATGCACATAGCCCCCAGGCAGGCAGGCAGGCAGGCAGAGATGCTAAGCATCAGACAATTCAGGGTGGGTGCTGAAGTGTGGTGACATGCCCCCAAGAGGGTGAGGAAGGAAACGCAGTCACAGCAATAAATAAAACTGTACAAAATAACCTATGTGACTGCTCTGAAGACCTCCTGCCACCGCCATATCCTGCCACGTCCAAGTGCAATTGGTCAGACTCAAAGTGCCACTGAGGTCACTGTGGGAACGTCCAGCTAGATATGCTGTCATTTCATAAGGATCTAGCCATCTTCTTCTGCATCAGAATCCTTCCCATCTGGGTCTTCACAGACAGAAGTTGTGGCTCCAGTAATGTTGTCTTCTGGACCACTCAAGACCTCTTCTACAGCTTCACCTGCATGATCAAAGGAGGGTATGTCAAAACACCTTTCAGATCCTGAGCTACAAACTAAAATTGCCTCTCCCTTGCCCGCAAGTCTCTGATAGCCCTGTGCTTTTCCCCCTCTAATGCAGGGCTGTGTGCTCCCACAAGATCAGAAGCTCCCTTCAATCCATTCCTGACTTAACCAGATCCAGGTCTGTTGCTCTGTTAACATTCTTCTTTTGATGTCTCAAACCTGCACTTCTTTATTAGGAGCAGCTTTATTCCACCACTGCTTACCTTGTCCACTCTCCTCATCCATAATCTCATGCACGTCTGTTACCTCTTCCTCTTCATCCTCATCCTCTTCATCACCATCATCATCCACTATCACCACAAAGTCATCACCATTCTCTGTCTCACTAAATACACACAGATAGGAGGGGATGTGTCACAATTTATCCATCTTTTGCTGCCTCCCACATACAAAGACTTCCTATTCATGAGTAATGCCCCTTTAAGATCATATGTATAGCTCCACAGCCACTGGCAAAATTCCCATCCAGGCACAGTAACAGATTTAGATTCTTGCCCAAGCTGCCATTTATATCATAATCCCACCCATATTTCCCAAAACAGCCTCTGTATCAATAAACCAAATGAAACTGATTTTCTAGTCTCCTCACCTGTCTTCTTCACCATTTTCACCACCTTCCCCCATTAGATAATACTGCAATGGATTTGGCCAGAGGTCCTCTTTAATAATCTGTAAGAAGATAGAAAGAGTAAGGGTTATAAGGAAATAACAGATGCAATGAGCAGTTAAAGATAACAGTATCAATTATGAATTCCACCTCAGCAATACGGTCTCCTGCAGGGAAGCTGTGGTCACTGAACCAGCTGAAAAAGCTGCGGCCCATCTCAGAATTCTTCCTCCCATGAGCTAGAGGGTCCTGGCCACGCCACCAGCGGATGGGTGTGGAGTGGGAAACCAGTCTTCCTGAACACAATAAGCATAGAGAGATGTAACCAAGTGAACATTATACTTTGTGCTTTAGTCCTCTAAACATTGCTTTTCATTGCATACCAGAGGAACCACACTGGAACTCCTTTACAATGACCTCATTCTGGAAGTAGGGGTTGCTGTTGAAGTAGAACTTGATCTTGCAGCCTGACTTTGCATGGGTGAAATCTTCAACCTATTGTATCAAAGAATGTCAGAATTAAGGCTAGCAAATAAATGATCATCACCATCCCAAGGCACTGGTGATGGCCATTCAAACTGACAAAACCCAGAACTCCAGACTTCAGTTGGTTTATTCCTCACACAACACTGGAGTCCCCTCTAATCTAACCTCCATATGTAAGTTTTGCACAAATCACCTGAAGATTGGTCATATAGCTCAGTGTATCCTCATCCCGGTCATTGATCATAGCAGAAAGCTGGGGATGGTTGAGAAACTGTGAAGCTGAAGTTAAGGAAAGAAACTATCTAATACAGTATTCTTAAAGGCAGAGTGCAATGCAAATGTAACATACAGGAAAAAAGAAATGGGGTATTTTGTTTGTCAACTGCAGCTTTGCCCAGAATAATTTTAAAAGGACCAAATTTCTATTCCCATGTCAAGAACATAAAGTGCATTCAAGTGCTCTTCCTATTTTCTTACACTTCATCACCTAATGGATATTTGGAAAAAAGTGGATTTAATACCATTTCCCTGAAAATAAGACCTAACCTGAAAATAAGCCCTAGTGTGATTTTTTAGGATGCTCGTAATACAAGCTCTAGCCCCAAAATAAGCCCCAGTTAAGTGAAAGCCCGCCCTCCACCATTGTGCAGCAACCAGAATATGACATGACTGTATTTGAATATATGTAGATTGTTGTACATGGGGGGGGGAACATCCCCTGAAAATAAGCTCTAATGCATTTTTGAGCAAAAATTAATATAAGACCCTGTCTTATTTTCAGGGAAACACAATAACTGCTTCAGAGCTATCAATGTGGTGTAGCAGATAGAGTGACAGACTAGGATTCACAGGGGTTGCACTGGTAAAATCTTTCCTTAAATATCTCATGTATCTTGAAAACTGCTAGAATCTCCAAAAGTCTGATGCAGCTTGGTGGCCATAATACAATAAATGCTTCATTCGGGCTTTGGGCTTTTCTTTTCAATATAGACAACCAGTTATCTGGATAATCTAAACAAAATCTAAGCTATCACACATCACTCAGTGCCCAATTCTGTACAGTACAGCAGCCTTCAAGAGTGGTGCCATAGCTCACTGGAACGCTTTGCAGAAAGACTCTCGGGTTCAATCCCTGGCCTCTCTGGTTAGAAAAAGCTCATATGGACTAGGTCTTAGCTTTTTGTGCCTTCTAAAGAGAACCCTGACCATCAGAACACACAGCAAAGGGGGCAGACAGACTGATGACTCAACTCAGTATAAGAACATATTCTTTTAGCCGCTCAGGCTCATTTTTAAAAAAAGAATCCCTGACAGCTGTGAAAGGCAGTTGATGGCAGTGACAGGATACAGCGGTGACCCAGAAGCCAGGGATGTTCTGGATGATGCGGTTGCGCCGCTCCAGGTGCGGGCGTCGTATATGGCCAAACTTGGCCTTGAGCTGGGCAAAGGTGCGGCTGGCCTGCTGGTTCACAGCCTCCAGTTCCAGCTGCACAGCCTCCAGGGCTTCCAGGTACTGCTCAGTCTTGCGAGAGGGCTGGGGTCTTCCTCCCTCCTCGTCCTCGTCGTCCCCTTCCTCGTCGTCCTCTTCCCCGACCGAGATGATCGAGCACTCGTCCTCTTCTGCTGCTGCTGCTGCTGCCGCCGCCGCCGCCGCCTCGGCAGCCCGCCGCCTCTCCCGAGCATCCTTCCTCTTCCTCCGGCTTTCCCGGCCATCTCCAGCCTCCTCTGTCTTTGCACAGGTCAGGTCGGGGCCCACCTTTGTGTCCCGGGGAGCGGTTTCGAGTCCTCCCCTCGGAACGTCGTCGATCTCGGTGCCATCTGCGGCGTTCCCTCGCCCCTCTGCGCCGC